GCCGGGTAGAGGCAGCCAACGTCCTCAAAAGCCGAGCGTCCCAGGAGTAGCCGGGCAAAGAGCGCCGGGTGCGCCCCGCTCCGCCAGCGCCCGCCCCACTCCGCCAGCGCCCGCCCTGCTCCGCCAGTGCCCGCTCCTGGAACGTGCACCAGAAGGCTTTCCAGGTTCCCTGGCCTGCAGTGGAGGGGCTGGGGTTCGGTTCAGAAGCAGGAGGGAGACCATGCTCGGATGTGCCTGGGGCAAGGTAAGTAATGGAATTCTCTCCCCAGCGCCACGGCAAAACGGGCTTGTCTGGATCTCAGGGAGGCAAGAGGCTTATTCTGAAGATTTCTTCCACTGAATCTAGGACTGGGAGGGACCTCGAGAGGTCATCAGGGCCAGTCCCCTGCCCTCGCGGCAGGACCCAGCACCGTCTAGACCATCCCTGATGTCTGTCCATCTAACCTGCTCTTAAATATCTCCAGGGATGGAGTTTCCACAACCTCCCTGAACAATTTATTCCAGTGTTTAACCACCCTGACAAGTAGGACTTTTTTCCTAATGTCCAACCTAAACTACCCTTGCTGCAATTTAAGCCCATTGCTTCTTATCCTAGCATCAGAGGCCAAGGTGAACAATTTTTCTCCCTCCTCCTTGTAACATCCTTTTAGGTGTTTAAAGCTGCTATCATGTCCCCTCTCAGTCTTCTCTTTTCCCAACTCAACAAGCCCAGTTCTTTCAGCCTTCCCTCAGAGCTCATGTTTTCTAGGCCTTTCAGCATTCTTGTTGCTCTTCTCTGGACCTTCTCCAATTTCTCCACATCTTTCCTGAAATGCGGTGCCCAGAAATGGACACAATCCTCCAACTGAGGCCTAACCAGCTCAGGGTATAGCGTAAGAATGCCTTCTCGTGTCTGGCTCACGACACTCCTGCCAACCCAGAAGCATGTTGGCTTTTTTTGCAACAGCGTCACCCTGTGGACTCGCATTTAGCGTGTGACCTCTGGATCCCTTTCCCTCTCACTGCCCTGTGTGTACACAGGCTCCCCTCACTCCTGCAGAGGGCCAGGGAAGTGGCACCGACCTTAGGCTCATTTCGGAAGATGGGTTTTTACACCACGTTCAACCCTAGAGCCTTTGCAAGATGGGCCCCTCCCTGGCGAGGGACCCCCAGGGCCTTGCGAGTCACAGATCGAGGGCAAAGGGGATCGTTGGGATCCCCTGGGTATTTCAGACGTGGCTTCGGCCCCCGCAGACACCGGTGCCCCAGGGACTCCCGCTCACACACCCCTGAGAATATTTAGGACGCACCTTTTGCAGCTCCTCTTCCGACGTCGTTAGCTTGGCTTTCCACACCAGCTCCTCCTCCTCCACGCTCTTCTGCAGGTCCTTGAGCATCCTTTCCTGCCAAGGGAGAAGGGAGGGGAGGGTGAGGCTGGTGGCAGGAGAAGAGGGGTCTCGTGTCTGGCTCACGACACTCCTGCCAACCCAGAAGGGCCTCCTGCCCCATTCAGCACTGACCTGTCTCTGCAAAGCTGGGGGAGGACGGGCCCCACCAGCGTGGAGGGACGGCTGGGCGTGTTCTCACGCCGCCTGGCGATGGGGGTGTGAGGAACAGAGGCACAAAAGTGGGGAGAGACTTGCCAAGGTCACAGTAGGTCAGGAACAGAACCCTGCTCCCCCGCCGCTCAGGGCTGGTCTTCCCTACCTGCGTGTGTGACGACCCTACGAGGCCAATGGGAGAGCGTCTCCGGTCGGCGCAGTGAAGCCACGCCCCCAAGAAGCGGTAGCTCCGTCGGACAGAGACGCTCTCCTGTCGACACAGCGCTGGCTACAGGGCCGGTGGGTGGAGCCGCCCTGCTCAGGGGATGAGGTGTTTTCCTGCCCCTGAGGGGCGTACTAATACCCATAAACGTGGGTAGACCTGGTTGGGGCGAGCTCCTTACCCACTACACCACACTGCCTCTCCTGGGCTCCGCCCCATTCAGAGCCTGTCCTCGGACAAGTGGGAACAGAGCAGAACTCCAAAGGCAGTTCTACCGGAAATACTAAGCAACAGGAACGCTAGCGGTAACCCGGAGAGGGATATTTCTAACCAAGCTCTGCCACAGCCTCTCAACCTGGGCTGCAAGATACCCTGGCAGCCCGCCTGGGCAATGTCTTCAGAGACGCTAGGCTGGGTGTGGCTGTGACCAAGCCAGCTAGCTCCGTACATGGCGAGAGATTCGGTGAGGAGGAGAAAGGGCCCGAAGGGCTTAACCTACCGTCTCGGCTAGAATAGTTCGGTACTGCTCACACTCGGCTTGTAAAGTGCTCTGCGCCTCTTCCGCGTCTTTTAATTTCAGTGCTGAATCCTGAAGGGAAAAAAGGAGCTGTAGAGCAGGGGTGGAGAACCTATGGTCTGGAGCTGGCCCTGGCTTGCCTGGATCTGGCCCGAGGCTTAGCGTTCCTCCCCACCAGCACTGGGGAGCCAGGTTGGTGCTCCAGCTCAGACTGCGCACCTCCACCCTACGTCCTGCCCGGACCACCCATCCCTAGCCTGCTCCTGAACCCCACCTTCCTCCCAAACCCACCAGCTCCCAACCCGCCTTCCCTCCCACCCAGACCCCACCCCCCAAACCTGCTTCCTGGCAGTCCCCCGCCCCTACACTGAACGCCTCACTTCTGGCACCCCCCCAGAACGTCGGGGGGCCCACGCACTCCACTAGCCTGGGCCGCGGCAGGCTCTGGTGTGCAAGGGGAAAGTGGGGAGTGTCTTTTTCCTTCTCAGTCGGGGGTTTTCTTTGTTTTGCTCCTCACTTTTGTGCAGCCCCCGACTGACGTGTCTGTGGGTCAGCGGCTCCCGACCCAAAAACAGGTCTGATGCTCGTTGCTACGAAGCCTTATTTCCCCCGACGCCCACAGCGAGCGAGAGGTTCGGGGGGTGGCTGTCCAGCACTCGAGAGCACTCACAAGACTTTCGGTTTGAGCCGTCTGCTGCGTTAGCGTCGCCAGACTTTTCTCCTTAAACTCGTGCAGCCACTCCTCATACGCCTGACAGTTAAAACACACACACAAAGGGGTGGGGGATCAGTTGATCTATCCCATTCCTTCCCTCGGCCGCGGCGCTAGCGACCACGTGCCAAGCATCCGAGACGCGTAGTGCCTACCTCTCGTGATGCTACCGTGACCTGGGGGAAGAGAGAAAGCAGCACCTGCTTCGTTTGCGTCTGAACCACACTGAGCTGCTGCTCCAAATCTTCCTGAAAGAGGAACGGACTTTTAGTTCGTGAAACCCTTTTCGCCAGGCCCCTTGAGGTAAACAGGATGAAGTTTAATAAGGACAAATGCAAAGGACTCCACTTAGGAAGGAACAATCCGTTTCACACATACAGAATGGGAAGCGACGGTCTAGGAAGGAGTACGGCAGAAAGGGATCTAGGGGTCATAGTGGACCACAAGCTGAATACGAGTCAACAGTGTGACACTGTTGCAAAACAAGCCAACTTCATTCTGGGATGCATTAATAGACGCGTTGTGAGCAAGACACGAGAAGTCCTCTACTCTGCGCTGGTTAGGCCTCAGTTGGAGTGTTGTGTCCAGTTCTGGGCACCGCGTTTCAAGAAAGATGTGGAGAAATTGGAGAGGGTCCAGAGAAGAGCAACAAAAATGATTAAAGGTCAAGAGAGCATGAGCTATGAGGGAAGGCTGAAGGAATTGGGCTTGTTTAGTTTGGAAAGGAGAAGACCGAGGGGGACATGATAGCGGTTTTCAGGTATCTAAAAGGGTGTTATGGGGGGGGGGGGGAAATTGTTCATGTTGGCCTCTGATATAGGACAAGAAGCAAAGGGCTTAAACTGCAGCAAGGGAGGTTTAGGTTGGACGATAGGAAAAAGTTCCTGTCAGGGTGGTTAAACACTGGAATAAATTGCCCAGGGAGGCTGTGGAATCTCCATCCCTGGAGATATTTAAAAGCAGGATGGATAGACATCAGGGATGATCTAGATGGTGCTTGGTCCTGCCGTGAGGGCAGGGGACTAGACTCGATGATTTTGCAAGGTCCCTTCCAGTTCTAGTGCTCTATGATTCTATGACTTGGGGACAGAGCCCAACTATCGCCCACGGAGGTCAGGGGCATTAGGCGGAGTTATACAACATTGTGGGTCTTTATTTTGCAGTCAATGCTGCACTGTAATGGGGGGGGGCAGAATCAAAACGCGCACCGATCTCCATGTGGCTAATTAAAGCCCGAACGGAGTCAAGCTCCCATTCTGAGATGCCTGTACGTACATCAGCTCAGCCCAGCATCACTTGCAGTGAGACGTGTGGCAATACTGACGGGCCGTTTGCGTCACCTTCCCTTCATCGTAACACTCACAGCGCGTTACGACACGGCTGCCTGGCCACGCCATCGCCATGGAGACGCCCACAGTCACCACCCACAAAAATACACGGAGAGGAGAAACCAACCCCTCTGTACAAAGTTTGTTTTCAAAGACGTTCGGGCGGCTAAGAGGTGGGAGACGCCTAGGGTGTCACTGCAGCACTGGATAGTTTCTCTGCACTGGTCCTTCGTCATGCGTGGAAACTGCAGGGCCACGCCCTACAAGTAAACCACTGTGGCAACGTTTTCTCGGAGGAGTCCTACGGGGTCAACGCGCAGCGTCATCATCAGCTTTAACACGGAACCAGGACCACTGGGAAGGTTTAGCTGAGCCGCGAACAGACCTCTCGCTCCCCAGCCGCTCCAAAGCACAGGCCCCTTTTGGCGCCGAGGGAAGCGCGACTCACCTTTGCTTTCATGGAAGAAAGCAGCTTTTCGTCGCGCGCTCTCTCAGCCGACGCCAGCGCTTCCATGGCTTCCCAGTTCTTCTCACGGAGGTCCTGCTGGGACAGACACAAGCAGGGGTGAGCCATGGAGACCACCACCGAGGTGGGAAGGGATCAGACCACCCCACTTAGGCAACCCGATTTTGCTTCGGCTCCTAAATCTTGAGCTACACAGGTGGGCCACCTATTAAGTTACAGCAGTGGCCTTAGGAGGATCAAGGATTAACCTCAAGTCTCTGGCAAGGTGGGAAGGAAGAGGTCCATCAGCCAGCTCATCAGAACAGTATTCCCATTGCCAGAGGCTAGGAGCATCCCTGAAAGATCTACCTTGTGAACTCCAGCCCTTGTTCTTAGACTCCCTTCACGGGACGGAGACGATACCAAATCCCTCAACGGCAGCTCAGCTAGCTGGAATCCCTTCCCCACGGCCACCCAGCCAGCCCAGGCTGCGGCTTTGTTTTTTCCTCGGTCAAACGTCCCCACACCCTTCCCTGAAGTCTTTGCTTTCTGCCCTTGGGAGTCAACCAGCTCCTCTCCTCGCCAGGGTACAAGAGAGCAAATGCCACCAAGAGCAGCCGAGATGCTCAGGCTAGCAACAAGCGTCCCTCGGGGCACAGAGAAATTAGATCTTTGACTTGCCCGATGCTACTTTACTGGGTGACTTTTAAAACCCAATTGTCAGTCAAATGCTAATCAGTGTTTTGTTCCAGTTGGGGCTGGCGGAAAGAGAGCTCGGTTCGGCCAGTCACTCACGTTGTTTTTCGTTTTCTGCTGCTCGATTATCTCTCTCAGCTCCACACCTTCCTTTTCGAGCAAGGAGACTTGGTCGGCCTTCTCTTGAAGTCTGCAAGGGAACAAGCGGAAGGGTTTGGAGCTTCCCTCTTTGGGTGGCCACGCTGAGACTTCTTAAAAACCAAAACAAAGATCTTTGCTCAAAGAGCAGGCAGATTTGGGGGGGAGGAGGAGACAGAACGCCATTGCCTAACTTAGAACTAGTTTGCTGAGTAGTTACCGGTCTTGTTTCCGGTGTGCAGTCAGCTAACCAGACAGCAGAAACGGTCTCAGTGGGTCTTCAAAATGGCACCCGGAAAGGAAAACCATTCCAAACTAGAGTGAGGTGCTTCGAGCCAGGAACTCTAAGGTGAGCTGTGGGACTTGAAACCGCTC